TTTTTATCAAAAAATGTTTTAAGGCATATGTCACATTTGTTGTCGTTGCTATTTGGTTGTCTCACGTTTTCTCGACTATGAGTTTCAATCGAATTGTATTCATTTTGTTGTGCTGGTCCCATTCCTACAGTTTCCGTGCAAATTGTATTCTCATAATCATCATCGATTTGTTCCTCCTTAATGTGAATAGTGTTAACGGCTTCAACGGTGGTGCTACAATCTTCATTTCTTAATTTTTCGGCTCGTTTTTTACATTTGGGATGATGATTTTCTAGAGATGATTTCTTCAAAAACACAGCATAGCAATAAAAACATTTGAATTTGACACAATTTGGATCATGTTGCATTTTCATATGTTTACGCAATGAATCCTTTCGTGTCAAAATCATATTACACAGCTGACATGGAAAATGGCCGGGTGCACTGTGTGTCCTTAACTTGTGTGTTTTTAGTGCATTTTTTGTTGACAATATTTTGTTACAAATATTACATTTTGTACGGTCATCGGTTTCACTGCTTTGATTGCTTGTCGATTCAGATACACCCATCGAATCGGTAAATTGATTTGAATTTGGTTCAATGTGGTTTTCATGTGGTTCGTGTTCAGAATCACAGTTGGCCCGTAACATTAGCTGTTCGTTCAAATCATCTGGCTTCAATTCCATTTCTTCAATGAAAATTGGATTCAACGACGAATAGTCTGCTGCAAATTCACCATCATTGCAAATTTCTTGACTGGTCGGTGACTTCGCATGTTCGTATTCTTTTTCAGCTAATTCTTCCGATTTGACAAAATTCACCTTGATACATGTTACGGCATTGTGTCGAGTGTACAAATCACTACCGATTCGAATTAAATTCTGGTCGCATTCGATGCATGTTTCGTGGGCAAAATGCTGTAGAATGTGGTCATCTTTTTTGCTGGCACTGCCAAATGTTTGCGGACAAAATAAACATTGATGAACTGAAAAAAAAAACACAATTGTTTTAGAATTTTCTATTTAAATCTTTTTTATTGATTTACCTGTTCTTATTTCATCCATATTATCAAGATTACCTCCGTTCAACCGTTCAACGATATTGTTTTTCTTCAAAATCTCAATTCTTCTTATTATTCCGTTGTTTTGTTTTGTCAAAGAAATATCTGTTGTTTATAATTACTGAGCTAAAGTGAACTGTCAAAGTCTACATAAGTATTTTCTTGAGTATCTATAACATAACATATAACATATTTACGCTTTATTTCAAGTATTTGGAAAGTAGTTTGAAGAAAACAAAAATAATTCAAAAACGGCACCCAATTAAATTTGAAAATGAGTTTTTCTTATTAATTTTCATTAATGTATTGCCACAATTTTCAACCAAATAATAATACATTCCATTATTAATTACAAGTTGGAAGTTTAAAATTGAGCTGCGATTATTTCCATAGGTCCTTACAATTGTTGTTCCTTTTTCATGAGGCCATGCTTTATTCTCTTATGTGTATAAACATTGGCTGGAGTCTTAAATCGTTTGTCGCATCCTTCAAATGTACATTTAAAATTTCTTTCCTCCGTATGAGTCCGCATGTGCAAATCCCGTACTGTTGGATTAGAAAATGCTTTCTCACAAAGTTCGCATTTATATGGTGTTTCTCCTGTATGCTTATACGTATGATATCGTAATTTTTGATCGCTCAAAAAGGATTTTCCACATATTGTGCACAAAAATTTACGAATTTTCAAGTGAACCGACTCATTGTGATTGCGAAGTTCAAATGAATATGAAAAAAGTTGACCGCAGTCACATTTAAATCTCTTTTTACATACTGTATGCGTTTTTCTCATGTGTCTGCGAAGTGAGATTATCTCTTTAATCACCCTATGGCATAAATGACATTCAAATGTCTTTCCCATATGTATAATTGGAAATCGTCGTCGATTTTTCAGCTGGCATACAGTACTGTGTTCGGCAAGCGCTTCTGCGGTGCCAAAAATTTTCGTACAAGCACAAAAATGTGTACCTTCGGCACTATGAAAGCGAATTTGATGTTGTCGTAACGATAATTTCGTTTTTAATTGCTTTCCACAGCTATCACATATGAATTTACCGGTAGTGTTTTGTCGTTTCATCGCAGTTGCAGTTGGTTTCATTCTATCTTTTTTACATTTATGATTTTCAAATATCGTTTTGTCAAAGGAAACGGATCCACAGAATGTACAACGAAATTTTTCAGCTTCTGAATGTGCATGGGTCATATGTTTTGAAAGACTTGCTTTTGTTACAAATATCATTTTGCATACTTTACATTCGAGACTTTCGTCAAGGTTTTTCGCACACTTTGGCTGGTGTTTGGCCAAACCTTTTGCGCTGAAGAATTTTATTTTGCATTTAGAACATTCATGCGTCCCGGATGTTTCACCATGCACAAGCACTCTGTGTCGTCGAACTGTGTTTTTATCAAAAAATGTTTTAAGGCATATGTCACATTTGTTGTCGTTGCCATTTGGTTGTCTCACCTTTTCTCGGGTTTCATTCGAATTGAATTCATTTATATTATTATTGATGGTGGAATATTCGATTTTGTTGTGCTGGTCCCATTTCTACAATTTCCGTGCAAACTGTATTCTCATAATCATCATCGATTTGTTCCTCCTTAATGTGAATAGTGTTTACGGCTTCAACGGTGGTGCTACAATCTTCATTTCTTAATTTTTCGGCTCGTTTTTTACATTTGGGATGATGATTCTCCAGAGATGATTTCTTCAAAAACACAGCATAGCAATAAACACATTTGAATTTGACACAATTTGGATCATGTTTCATTTGCATATGTTTACGCAATGAATCCTTTCGTGTCAAAATCATATTACACAGCTGACATGGAAAATGGCCGGGTGCACTGTGCGTTATTAACTTGTGTGTTTTTAGTGCATTTGTTGTTGACAATATTTTGTTACAAATATTACATTTTGTACGGTCATCGGTTTCACTGCTTTGGTTGCTTGTCGATTCAGATACACCCATCGAATCGGAAAATTGATCTAAATTTGGAGTTGGTTCAATGTGGTTTTCATGTGGTTCATGTTCAGAATCACAGTTATCCCGTAACATTAGCTGTTCGTTCAAATCATCTGGCTTCAATTCCATTTCTTCAATGAAAATTGGATTCAACGCTTGAGCTTGTCCTATAAAGTCACCATCATTGCAAATTTCTTGACTGGTCGGTGAATTTGCATGCTGGTATTCTTTTTCAGATGGTTCTTCCGATTTGGCAAAATTCGCTTTGATACATGTTACAGCATTGTGCCGAGTGTATAAATCACTACCGATTCGAATTAAATTCTGGTCGCATTCGATGCATGTTTCGTGTGCAAAATGCTGTAGAATGTGGTCATCTTTTTCGCTGGCACTGCCAAATGTTTGCGGACAAAATAAGCATTGATGCACTGAAAATAACACGATTGTTTTAAAATTGTTCAAATGTGTAGAAAAGATGACATCTTACCAGCTCTAATAGCATCCATTATCAAGACTATCTCGGTGCAATGATTTTTTTAAATGTAAAATTAAGAAACTCCTTTTTCAAATTGGTTTTTATATTGTTTATTATCAAATGTCAATGAAAGTTGTACTTGCTTGTACCGTAAACTGAATTGTCAACTTCAAAGTGTACTGCATAAGTATTTTTTTGAGTATTGGTTTTCGAATGGTATTTTATGTGGATACAAATATAGATCTATATAAATATTTACACGAAATTAAAATTCAAAAGTAGATTTTGTGTTATTTGTTCTTTTATCAATGATAACTGGATTTATTTTCATAGAAAATTCATGTCAGTCTAAAATATGTTTTTAATTTTTCATGGGGAATATCTTTTTGTGTATTAACAATCTCTTTTGTAGACAAGTCCATGCACTTTTTTCCTGTGCCTATAGACACCGCAAGATGAACTGAATTCCTTACTGCATGCTTTGATTGGACAGATATATTTTCTTCCTGTATGGATCCTCATGTGCATGCTTCTAACTTTGGGCGAGATGAAATATTTTTCACATCCTTCAAATTTACATTTCAGATTCTTTTCGGTCTTATGCGTGTACTGATGAAGTCTGAACGATTGGCTGGTTTTGAAAGTTTTTCCACATATTGAGCATACGAATTTTCGAATATTCAAGTGGACGGCATCATAGTGAATTTGAAGAGCAGACCTTCCGAAGCAACGTCGCTCGCATAGCGAACATTTGAAATTTTTCCCAAAAACATGGTGCGCTCGTACGTGTTTCGTTAAATTTTGCCGCCCTTTTATCACCTTATGGCATAAGTAGCACTCAAGTGTTTTGTCCAAAAGTTTAAATGAAATTTTAGTTTCCTTCTTTTTATATGCACAATCGAGTC